GAGAGAGATGGAGAGAGATGGAGAGAGAGAGGAGGGGGAAAGACGGGGCCCAGGAGGCGCACGCACACGGGAGGGAGAGAGAGAGAGAGAGAGAGAGAGAGAGAGAGAGAGAGAGAGAGAGAGAGAGAAAGACAGACAGACAGAGATTGACACCCAGCAAAAGCCATGACTAGGCGATGTGAATACAATTAACATGAATTTCCACTCCATGGCAGTGCATCACCGAAGGTCTCCCTGACGTAAAGTCTTTATGATATTATACAGCCCCTGATCTGCGTGGATTATAGCCCAGCGCAGTCCTCAAGTTGTTCTAGGTTCGTAGTGTTGACGCCCTGTGCTGATTCATTGCTCTAGGTTCCCGGTGCTGAAGCTCGGACGCCCCGACCGATCCCAGAACCGGAAGACCTGCTGACAGCTGGGAAACCTGCCCGCCAAGAGTTGACGTTTTTCTTGACCCCAGTCTCAAGGGCCAGTCCAGAGAGACTTGTTACCTAGGTAGGTAGGTAAATATGAACCTCATAGGAAGGTGGCGCCAAAATCGATTTACAATTCCCTGTTTAGGACAATCCGTGGTCGCTGCAATTGAAACTTCCGAATGCAAAAATGGTACCGAAACGATCTCATTATTATCCCTTAACTGAAAAACGACTCCTGCCACGGGAAGACCTCCCTGCAATAGAGAGACACGCAGCCTGCCCAGACTTCAGGCAGGTTCTTCTGGCTTCCCATTACTGAGGCCCAGCCCGGCATCCCATGTCAATGGCACAATTTCCACTAAGTTCTCACCGCAAACAGCAGCCATCACTGTTTGATGGTGGGGGACACAGCCTGCCACGACGTCAAGTTCTTCTGGCTTCCCGTTACCGAGGCCCAGCCTAGACATGTGGATGATGCGACTTCCACTAAGTTTGCGCTGCAGACAGCAGCCATCGCTGTTCGGTGGTGGTTGGCGGGAGGAAGGAAATTACGAGTTGGTTTTGCCGTGTACATGTTTAAGAATCTTTCGGCCCGGTTCCAGTTTGGGGTGGGTTGTCGATCATGGCCCAGTACGGAGATTCAGAACGGGAATTGAGGGGCACACTCTTCAGGTTTGCGATGACAGTCCCTATTGCTTTCCGCGGAGCTTGAAGAGCTCGCGAATGGACCTCAGCAAAGAGAAGGCATGCGGCAAGAGGAAGGGCTGCGACGGGATCCTGCTCTGCCTCCAACTGTGAAACCAATGCCCTCTTATGCGTATCAAGAAGAGGGCGTTCAACTTTTTTGTCCAGACTCCTTAACCTGACACCGCAGTCCTCCGCTAGCGACTCGAGCGATGCCATAAAAGTGGGAACACTCTTCCCATCAATTGTTTCCACCATTGCGATCGCCTTGACTCGGATGTCGGATGGAAGATTCCGCGCAAGAGCAAGCCTCTCCTGTACGGTGAGTGATGGCTGGCCGACAGGAGGCAGATTGAGTGATGTATCAGCAGAAATAAGCCCCTCGGAAATCTGGTGCTCTTGGCCCTGTGCATGAAGAAGCACGTCAGCTATCTCAGCAGCAAAAAATCTGAGTAAATGACGATGAAGAACAGGCGAAATAGTCGTGTCGTTCTCGAACACGTCAAGTGCTTTGCAGTACAGCTGCAGGTTCAGATAGAGTTGGTCCATCCGTTGTTGGACTGCATCGCGCCGGCGTTTCCTTGCCTCGGCACCCATGGAGAATGCTGTCTTCTTCACGGAAAGCCAGGTGGACACGAGTGTCGGCCTTATGCGCCCCGCCAGCTCATGAACCAAAACGCCTTCACTCTCGTCCATCTCCTCTCCGTCTCCCACTCCTGCGAATTCCATCTCCGGGTACCATTCGAGAATCTTCCTGGCTATCTCTGTCTTGTCAGGAACCATATCTGCGTCCTGGTCTTTCTCCGCTGCTTTCGTACCACCTCCCTTTGCGAACGACTTGGGCGCTGCGGCTGCAGGAGGTATACCACCCGACTTTCCGGCCTTACCTGTCTTTCTTCGCCCTCCCTTTCCTCCCTTCCCAGCGCTCAGCAACTCGTCTGATCCTCCTGCACCGCCATCCGCCCCCATTTTAACTGATGGCTTCTTGTTTTTGCCTGTCCTTTGTTTGCTGCTTGCACCTCCATCGCCTTCCTCATCGCTCTGGTGCCCTCCTTCTGCAGTGAGTCCCTGTCGATTATTATCGCCGGATGCAGGGAGATTGGTAGAAGCAGGTCCGAGAGCTGTTCTCCTTTGCGCTTGTGAAACATTTTCCTGCACTACTTTCTCAAACCGGCCAATCAAGTCCTGGACAAGCTCTTGGGTGACTACACAAGTGCCTGCCACGATTGACGCTCTCCCCTCCTTTTTCGCCCTGTTGGCAGACGGGCACATTGCAAGAAGCTCTGCCACATCTGCTTCTGAAAGCACAGGCGTCAAAAGCGGTACTGCATCGCACCAGGACTTCCCTTGTATCGCCTCGTCAGCAGCTGCATCCAGCTGACTGACAACCGAGGCATGGACATATGCTGTGCTCAGTGCCACACCATCAGGATATTTGGCCTGCATAAATTGCTTCGGCTGCGGCACAGCGAGCTTCTTCAGCGACTCGTACAAAATGAATCCATTTTGGGAGAAGAAAGTTTCCACGGCCTCCTTCTGGGACCGAAGGAACACCGCTGGATTCCACGAAGCAGTGCCACCCCTCAGTGTTCCATAAATTGCGCCCTCAGACACCAGACTGCTGAGCATTGAGTGCATGAGAGCAATTTCGCCGCCGCTCGCCGCACCTTCAATTCCCATCTCATCCTGGAGATGCTCCAAGCTAGGCCACACACCACTCAGTGGGGTGGGAATCGTCAGCGCCCTCAATGCTCCTCGCATCATGGCCTTCACACGAGCCACATACGCAGGAGTGTACAGGTTTCCACCTTCCAGCTTTCCTTTGACCGAAGATCCCAGTCGAGAAGAAATGACGGTCGTCAAGATCTCCGCTCCCACGTTGAACCTTTTCGCTAGTTCAGAAATAGAGGCCTGACCAGTTTGCTGGAGTGTTTCTTCGATCTCTTCCGCAACACTGTCCCAATACGCAGTCGTTACGATCTCGCCTTGCACAAGGCCGATGTCTGCATTCTCTTGGACAATGAACTGAGCTTGGTGCTCACAGTGCGAGAGATCAACACCGATGCTCACGGCCAGCTCGACTAACGACACACGACCATGCTTCTTTATCTCTATCTCCATCTCCTTGCGGAGATGTCGCTGCGTAAGATACTCTCTGCCATTGATCGTATGCAGAATATCCGCTCCAAGAAGACCGAGCTCCTGCAGCTTGAGTACTAATTCAACCACATTTCGCTCGGACAATCTCACCGTCGACTCCGCTTCCTGTGCCTGAAGAAACCTCTGCTGCAGCAAAAGAAGTTCCTCATCCATCTTGTCCTTTTGTAGCAGAAGAAGATGACGGCTGAGGCTGGCTCTCCCTTTCCTCCTCCTCCTCCTTTCTCTACTTTTCTCCTTTCTCCCCTCCCTGCCCTCCTCCTTGACTCCCTCCTTTCTCCTTCCCTCCCTCTCACGTTTCCTCTCCTCGCCCCCGATCTCGCATGAGAGAAGTTACACGTACGACTCCTAGACAGAGTCCAATAGATGTCTCTACTGTACACAACTCCCCATACTCTCTCTCTCTCTCTCTCTCTCTCTCTCTCTCTCTCTCTCTCTCTCTCTGTGTGTGTGTGGGAAGAAGTGTGACAATGCGATTGCCTAGCTCCTTCGCCCGAGATTGCTACCGTACCAAACTCCCCGTATACACTCTCTCTCTCTCTCTCTCTCTCTCTCTCTCTCTCTCTCTGTGTGGGAAGAAGTGTGACAATGCGATTGCCTAGCTCCTTCCCCCGAGATTGCTACCGTACCAAACTCCCCGTACTCTCTCTCTCTCTCTCTCTCTCTCTCTCTCTCTCTCTCTCTCTCTCTCTCTCTCTCTCTCTCTNATAATCAAACTAATTACATTTTGGTGTGCAAGGGGTGCACAGTATGACAGAACAGCATTCGTCCTGTGTTTTGTATTAAAAAAAAAAAAAAAAAAAGGTCCTGTGTCATGTATTATTGCAGCTTGACGGCACAAAGCGCTTTATCTTGAAGACTCTCTGACAAGGATTTATTATTATTATTATTATTATTTTTTAACAGATCTCCAATCTATTCGTGGGGAGCAGTCTCTAACAAGGCCTTTCGTTCGGACCGACTATTCACACCGCACAAGGAGGAAAAGCGCGTGGCGGCTCAATGTACAAGGGACAAGGCTTCTGTTATGACTATCGACTCCATGTGCGGAGGAGAACAGAGAGAGAGCTGTCTCTTATACACATCTAGATGTGTATAAGAGACAGGTGTGTGTGTGTGTGTGTGCGTGTGTGTGTGGGTCTGAAGAAGAAGTGTCACAATGCGATTGCCTAGCTCCTTCCCCCGAGATTGCTACCCTACCAAACTCCCCGTATACACATTCTCTCTCTCTCTCTCTCTCTCTCTCTCTCTCTCTCTCTCTTGTCAAACTAGCAAGCTGCCGAATTCACCCCGCTATTCACACCTCCCTCCTCCCGCTAGCCAGCAAAATCCATCTCCCATTCTACTGCACCCCACCGAAGCCGATCGGTCCCCTCAGGCTGCCAACTCTGCACAGAATCCTGCTGCCGTAACCTCCCCCTCCTCTCCCCCTCCCCCCCCTGGACCAAGTATTTACACAAATTAGCCCGCAGCTAGGCGACAATGCCGACACGAGGCAAGGAGGACGCTCCCAACGAACTTCTTCCTTACTCCTCAGCAGCGACAATGGCTATGATTCCACGAGGAGAATCGGACGCCTTGAAGCAAAGCTGACCGACCCTTTGCGATCGATGATACCTGCCTTTGCTCTGCATGGGACAAATCACTGCCAGCGAGGAGATAGATGTTTGTTGCCTCGGCTATGAAGACGGGTGCCTTTGCTCTGCACGGGACAAAGCACTACCCGCGATGAGATAGATGTTTGCTGCCTCCGGCTATGACGACACGCAGACGATGACCAAGCCTCCGCTGCCACGTGCAACAGTCCGTACAGATGAAGACGTGGCATCAAAACGAGCACCAAGAGGACGAAGAGGGAGGGGGATGGACGCTTCTACGACTCCCGTGCAAGAAATTTGACACGTGGGGAGTGTCGCTCCCCCAGTCAAACCCACCAGCAGCTAGAGACTGCCATGAGAGCAGCACGACACGCTACAGAAGAACCCCACCGGCTCTCACCTCTAATGGGCCTCGCTGCACTACTCCCCAAACATGTGCAAAACGAGACTGAATCCTCCGCTAGAACACGGACAGATACATCGCCATTTTTTTTGTATTTGGTGCATCTGGACAGTAGTGCAGCGAGGCCCAGTGTGCCGTTCCAATTCGGGAAAGTTGCGGCCCTTGCGGTTACCTGGGATACGATTTTTGCTTTTCTTTCTTTTTTTTTTCTTTTTTTTTCTTTTTTTAAAAGCTGCCTTCTCCTCATCGGGGGACAGCCATATATTTATATTTTCTTTTATATATATCGTCACAAACAGAACTGCCCGGTAAACCGTAGGCAGAGAGAGAGAAGAGGACAACAAACGAGGGGCTGTGACAAACTGTTTCGTCGGAGTTTCACCGACTCGTCAG